CCTTCGCTTCTACTATGTGACCCTCGAGACAAAACAATTGTTCAACCCAATGATAGTTTAGATGAATAGACTTAATTTTGTTAAAAATTTTGATACAAAAAAGTCAATATGATAAAAATAGTCGTGTATAGCATAAATATAGCTTAGAAAAAACGTAGTAGTAAAAGGGTAAGTCAAGAATTAATTTTTATTTTTTAATTTAGTTATAAAACATAATTACGACCCATTGCAAATCCCATTAAACCACAACTTACACAAGGTTTTATTCTGTGTCCTGCCCAGAAAGATGTCTCTTATTATCGGAATGTCATTTTTATTGTTTGAGGTAGATGTTTTATTGAGTTGGGGGAGATAGTTTTATGGAAGCAAGGACAATGCTGTTGTTGTATATAAATATATTCGTCTCAATTATTTATGGCAAAGTCCAGTTTCTTCGCTGTCATTATTATTGTTATTGTTGAAGTATATTTTTCTCTCATAAAATCCATTGCCATGGCACTGAATAATATGGTATAGATGTAAATATTATTTATTGCTCCTACCTACAGCGATTTGATAGTAAGATATTTTAGTTACGGTTATGCAGAATGTTTCTTGCGAAAAATAAATTGTAATCACAGAATAAAAAAATATTTAACAACCTGAAAGAAAAGAAACAGTTGTATTCAAATGCGTTGCGTGACTCTGAAATTACGGAAGATTTAACACGTTATAAACATATAGATCCATTTAAAAAATGTGAAAAGGAACCCCTGAAATTACGATCTGGTTGGATAAAATGAGAGTACAACTTGTTTTATGTTTTTTAATTAAAAAGTAATACAGTGCTGAAATTTATTGCTTTTCTTGACTAAATTATAATTTATAATAGATTAAATAATTTCTGCCTGTGTGTTACTATGGCAATACAAACAGCAAGATTAAAAACTATCACGTGACTGACGTTGGATAGACGTTTTCGAACGTTTGACGCTTACCTATTCTCACCTACTCTTAGTATTCCTCGTGAAAAACATTATAGAATATTTGATATAACTTGTACACAAAGCTTCAAAAATTACGATGTTTACGTATGGGCATATATTATCCGGTATAACTTTTTTTAACATTTGCCCACGATCTCATATTAGCTGAGATACTTTTGAAATTGTATCAGATATATTACATCGATCGAAAATATAAACTCGATAACTTAAGAAGGAATGGAATTTAATCATATTTTTAATCTCAGCGTGACTACTAAGTTATTTATTCGATACTTATATGCTAGAAAGTTTAAAAAGAGTGTTGTGCGGTATCTGTATATTTACATCCATTTCAAAGTTCAATGAAATTCTTCAAGATATATCTAAACATGTTTTAAATATGACGAATAAAGTTAGATATGTTCGATTGATAAATGAGAATCTGATTTTAAGAGTGTCTTTAGACAAATTGGAAATGTTCGAACTAACAGATATATATTTATCGAATTGTGAGTTTCAACGAAATGCTTAAAATTTGTTTAGGTAATGAATTTAATAGTTTGTGTATTAGAGTTTTTACTGTCAGTTTCATTTGAGTTGTTGTTTTGCTAAAGGAAAATATATGTCTATGTGGTTAAATGCTGTTTGAAATATCAATTATTTTTTCTGTTGAATAATTTTTTGAGTCTGCTTCGAACAGGATTCATGTACTTTTAATGCAGATGTTTTCGGAAATGTCGTCCAATTAAAAAATAAATTTATTAATTAAGATTGAAAATTTTAAAATCGATAGGGAAACTATTTATTTATCCTTAATCCATTGTTATTTACAATCATTTATGACACTATATGGTGTTGCTTTAATCGCTTTAACATTGTGTAAAAAATTTTTTTATAAAACTACAGAATCTAAGCTTTATATCAGCGTGAACCAAAATTTAAATTATAATGTGAAACGAGAAAAAAAAATTATTTAAAACTAAATAAATTTAAATTATTTCTAATGAAGTTCCAATTAAAAAACATGTTTATTTATGTAATTTTTTAAGATGTATTTGAATACGAAATTTCGTTCTTGTATCTATCTGACTAATTATCATACACGAAAATGTGAGCACAAATAACACACTAGAATTGAATTCAGTTCAAAATGAAAAAAATATTGTGCCAAAATTCATGCTGGTACTGATTTTTGGCCTCTTTTTCACTAGTATTAATATTAAAAGAAATTTTAAATATTTATAATTATAAGGAAATAAAAAATATTTTTCCTATAACATGCGTAGATTAGAAAAGGAATTCACTCATGTATTTTTTACGTTGGGAAAAATACTTAATTATTTGCTTTTTTGAAAATTAGTTCTCTAGTATCTGAATCAGAACGAATTTATCGAAAGTTAGAGCCTCATGTTAATCACTTTCACTTAGTCTATTAAAATAAAGCATTCTTTAATTTCCAAAGAACGAAACAAAAAATTGTACTACACGACAGAAAAACTGGGTTAATGAACGATTAGAGAGAAATGATTTATAATATTTTATTTTTTCGTTCTGTATCATTGATAAATGCTGAACACAGCTCTTTTATAATTTAACGTATGAAAAGGATTTGTAAAGATATGAACGAAAAAGGAGGGAGGGGAATATGTAATATTTATCACAGCTATTTTTTTTATTTGTCAGGTAAAAAAAGGGAATTTAGATTTACGAAACTTGCTGCGCTCTTGAGTTGTGTTTCATTAAACGTCTCTTGGATCATAAATTCGTATCAAGAAATTTACATTGTGGTGGTTTTTTTCCAGTTTGCGTATTTCTCAAACATAACTTAAATAAGGTTGTAAAAGTAATTATCATTATTATTAGACACAAAGTATCATTTCCTGGTGTTTCTATGTTTCTGTATCTTTTTATAATTCCGATTTATTTACTGGAACATCTATAAATGACTCGTAATTGGCGATTAAAGGATATCCGAAATGAGGAAAGCTGTTTTCATAAATGTTTTCAATTTTTTAATGGGTGCGCAGCGAAGTAATTGCTACTAATGATTACTATTAATAAACTATAAAATACATAAAAAAGCGTAATTAATATAAGCTTTGAGAGATATTATCTACGATAATTTTTTTTTGTATTCAAATTTGTTGCTCATTTAATGTGATGTAATGCGTACATATTTTTGTTTTCCTTTTTTTTGAATTTATTCGAACTATAATTTTTTTCTTCAATTCATTTTAAAAGATGTAAAATACTCATTGGTGTTCATATGTCTTTTTCCTCATCAAATATTTATCTTGATCCCATTCTAACTTATTTAAAATGAACTACAAATTCTTCTTTTGACACATTTTGCAACATTTTATATATTTTTACCATTATTAGTAAGGTGACCAACTGTCCTCCTTTAGGGAGGACAGTCCTCCTTTTATAGGTTCTGTCCTTCCTCGAAAAGTGTCCTCCTTTTCAATATTTTAAAACTGGTCTGTTAATCTCTGTATTCAGAGATAAACCAAACATGTTTCCAAAATGTCGAAGAATGGTCTGAAGCAAATATCACAGGAAATAACAGTTTTCAATGGTATTTTTTGACTTTGTCGCAAGTAAATTGTGTAAATATAGGAAATTACGTTGAGTTTTTACCGAAAGAAATGCCTGATATTAAAATCGATGATAATTATCTGTTGGAAGTAGAAAGAACGCTGAATATATTTTTAAATTCTAATAAATTAGAACAATTGGAAAATCAACATGCTGAGAAATTACTTAAATTATTTCAAAAATGAACACATTCTATGTATGAAAATTTAGTTATTCTTGTTGAATTTACGTTGTGCTGCCCTGGAACTAATGCAGCAATTGAAAGATTTTTTTTCGGTAGGTAATGATTTTTTTGAAGTGACTAGTGAGAAATCAAAATTGAATGTTAATATTTTAGCTACAGTGCTTACCGTAAAATTCAGTATGAAGGATATTTTTTGACAGAGCTTTCCGATATATTAGGAAATGATATGTTAACAAAAAAAAAGTTCATTCAATGGAAAAATACTCGTTTAAGATAATAATTAAAAAGAATGTAAGTATAATTAGAGTATTTTTATTTAAATTAATAAAAAGTTTCATTTTTTTTAAGTTGTAGTTTTTTCTTAAATTTTTCGTCCTCCTTTTCATTATAAAAAAATGGTCACCTTATTATCAAGAAACGATGAGGGAGAGAGTGAAAAATCTTATGAGTTCTTACAATAAATAATTTCGAATATTTATTCGATATCAATATCGATATAAAATACATCTGAATCGTGAGTTGATCTATATTTCTGAAGGACGTTCAGAATTTAAATTTCACTCGTCAAGAGAAAAAAGATTGGAATTGCTGAATCACAAAGAAATGTTTGCTATAGAAGGTCATAGAAGATCCGCAAGAATAAATAGGTCAAAAACCGCTCAGCTAGAAAGTTTCTGAAATAAATGGTTACATACAGATACTTCTTATCTTCAAGAGAAATTTTTTTTTAAATACAAAAATTGGCAATTCATCTAATATTTCAAATGCAAGTTTACAACGTAGTTAACATAGAACGTTTCATGGGAAGATATTTATGAAATGATAATATGACATATATAAATTTTTATCTCTTATAATATGTAGCTTAAAATTTCCATTTCAAAATACTCATTTCATTAGAACTTTTGAAATTTTGTAATTTATGTTCAAGATTGAGCTTTTGAATCTAATTTGAATTAAAATGATAAGTTACATATTTATTTATTTATCTTCAATTCCTCTACTATTAGATAGTTCACTCTTTCCCTCCCGATATATATATATATCTTGCACATATTTTCAAAATCGTTAATAAAATATACTTTCTATTCATCCTTTCAAGTTCAAATACATTTTTTAAACTTGTAGTGGATGACACTTGATGTTAATACAGTTCAAATATTGATTCATTAATTAAATTAAAAAATGAATAAATAATAACAAACAAAAATAATAGTCCGATAGCATACATAAAAAGGAAATTCAATCGTTGTGTCCTTGTAACGCAGTGGACAGCGCGCTGGACTTCCAATCCAAAGGTCGTGGGTTTGAATCCCACCTAGGATGGCCTAATTTCTGAGAATGTGATTTCTTTTTCACTACATTATTTTATTAGAATAATTCAATTTAATTAATGAATAACCAATAACAAATAAACAAAAAAAATAGTCCAACACTATAAAGGGGAGGGGGCTAAAATAGCAAGGAAAATCACTTTCTATTTTGTCACTTAATATTGTGATTCTGTCATATGTATATATACACACATTTATGTTAATTATACTATTTAATAAAAAGTAACTAAAATAAAAATGTTCCTTATTGACCTAAGTAGGAATTGACTTAATTTTTTTATATTTCTTGTTTTTGTTCAATTGATACTTAAAATAAAATTATCGATTATACATAAATACATAACGGTTGAATAAAGGAACACATATTGCATGAGCTTTTTTTATCTTTTATCTATATTTAAATGTAATTTTCGAAATGCATCGTAATAGATGTTTCATATTGTCACATTACAAATTAATATAAAATAAATCAAGGATATTACAAATTAAATCTTTCATTTAACTTTGTTGTTGTTTTCAAGATATTTAATTTTCTAAATTATGCTTCATTCGATTTATTATTCATTATTATAATTACCAGAACATGTTTAGCCATAAAAACTTAATTAAATTGACATAAATTTGAGAACAAAATTTTACTAAATTGTATTCATAAAAATGTTATAACTTCCTTGGTAAATTACTCCCGTGACCAAAAAGGTTAGACAATTCTCTCTTATAACCTAATTCTTTCAAAAATAATATTATTTAATGTTTGTTCGAGAATAAGTAGAATTCATACAGGTGTAACGTGAAATATTTTATTTCACATAGCATTTAATCAAAATCAAATTTTGTTTATTGAAATTAATTTGATTAGTATATATATAATTCTAACAAAATAAATACCAGACGACGAATTAATGTTTTTCGTGAAAAATGAAAACTACATTTAACGCCATGAGAATTTTAAAAATAAATTTTTTATCGGCCAAACTAATTGGTGTCGTTCGTCTGGAGTAAATAAAAAAAAGGACAAAAATGTTCCAAAAAATGCAAACATTCTGAGGAAAAAGTTATAATTTATCACCACATAAAAGGGAAACTTTTTGTCGCCATATGAAACCTGAATGGTGTCGGAAAAAATGTTCCAGAGAAACATAAAGGGAAACCTGTCCCGTAGTGAACTGCTCTCATTTCGAAAGTGGAGACCATAAGTCTGAATCCTGGTTGGAACTTTTAAATATCAAAACCCAAACCAGGAATTACGTCCGCCACCACCAGAGGGCATCCAGGTCATCGACGTCAGAGAATCAACAAGTAGGTCAGAATGAAATAGGGTTACCACAGAAGTTTTCCATCGCCAATGAAACACCTTCTATATCTTGGAAACAAATGAAGGTACATAATCTACCTGCTATTAAATGAATATCATTTAGATTGTTGTTAACAGGTGTCATACTCTGTTACGAGGTCGAAGAAATCAAAGGAAAAACTGATGGATGTATTGTTTGTTTTTGTGATTCAGGTCATTCTCGCACTTTTTTTTTAATCTTCGAACGTTCTTTGATTGGATTATTAGTGCGTTAAAACTGTTGAGAGGAAGAGTATTGAGTAAATAGAAATTTATCGGAGAGATCATACGTTTAATGCATATTCAATATTTTCATTATTTAATTTTATATTTTAATAAATATTACGGAAAACGTTAAAAAATACTATTCACTTTTTTCTCGCAATGCTTATCGCGGAGTTTTTATTTGTATTACCCATCCATCTGCAGCTTAAATAACGCGATTCATCTTGTCATTATCAGAATTTTTGTATTAATCTATTATCGAATATTCATGTCACATGACTTCAGTTTTATAAATCATCCATTCATTGAAAGGTATTCAAAACTAAGATTCAAATCCAGTTCAGAACAATTGGCAAAACACAATTATAAGATCAATTGTTCTTTATTTATTATTCTTCATTTAATATTTTTTAATTGATTGTTATCTTAACAATTCTGTTATATGAAAAATATATATTTTCACTCGTTTAGTAAGTAAATTACTAATTTCTTACTAATTCTTAACTTACTACTAATTTCTTACTAATTCTTAACTTACTACTAATTTCTTACTAATTCTTAACTTACTACTAATTTCTTACTAATTCTTAACTTACTACTAATTTCTTACTAATTCTTAACTTACTACTAATTTCTTACTAATTCTTAACTTACTACTAATTTCTTATTAATTCTTAAGTAACTTATAAGTAAATTCAGCTTTTTGCCATTTTTTTTACATATATTACATTTTTTCCCCTCTTGTATAAACATAACATAGCTTGATTTTAATGTGTTTCAATTAGTTAATGAAGTGTCTTAATAAACTTCAAGTAATAATAAATTTAACCAATCTCTTTCAGACTTTCATTATTGCTGCTTTCAAATAACACCTTTCATCTTTATACAATGTTAAATGCAGAAATATGAGAAATAGAAATTACAACCAAGTAAAGAAACGAATAAAAAGTACACAAAAGAATTTGCATTATCTTTTCTAAATTAGCAACGATTTCTCAACATATATTGCCACCCAAATTCTCCTATGTTTTAGGATATTAATATTTTAAGCGAAATACGATCTTATTTTTGAATCTGAGAGAACAAAACACATTCCTGTCTTTTAACCTCAGTCATAATTAAGTAAAGAAAGGAAAAGTATTTAAATGGGCTCACGTGCTTCTCAGGTGACCACTATTTTGGCATCTTGCCAGTAGAAAATTTAGCGAAATAAATATTCATTACAAAAAGAAAAGGAGAAAGAATTTGTGGTTTCTATTGAAGATATTTTTTATTTATTTCCTCTTTTCAATGTGCATCAAAGGAATTAGAAAAGGTTACCCAATACGAAAGTTAAGAAAAGAATGCTTATGTTCTGAATCAATTATAATTCATCATTTGAAAGTGTTCATATGTCTACTTTTTCTTCAAAGCTACTTGAAACTGCTGCAAATTCTTGGTTTAATATTTTTTGAAAGAGTTTTTGTTAAAAATAAAAATAAAAGGTTTTGTTTTATATTGATAAGATTTAACTTATTGAATTGTTTGCTTAGAAAACTTTCTTTTTTAAGTTTTCGTTTATAAATTGGTTATTACTGATTCAAGTTATACCTAAGCGTGTTGGGGGGGGAGGGGGTAACATGCTGAAAATGGGGAAATTTTTTATGCATTTCATTTAGTTATTTAACTTCAGGTCGTACATTGGGGGAAAAAAATAAATGAATAAGATTCACGGTGAAGGTAAATAAATTAATAAGGTAAATTAATAAACGGACGGTTTGTTTATGCTTAAGTAAGAATTTAAAAAACTATTTTTTGTGGAAAATATCGGATAACGTTCAAAGCTTTTAATGGATATTAACATGCTTTTTTGAATACATAGGCCGATACCTTAGTTTTCTGTTATATTTTCTGAAATATGATAGATATTAAGAGTTGATGTGTTCTAACTTTTTTACATCCATTTTTATATTTTTTACATTGTTATACTGAACACTGGCTCCATACTGAGTAAAAATAATTATTTTAATGAATAAGTATAATTGTCAAATGGAAAGTTAACTATATACCAAGAGAGAGAAAGAGAGTTACATTAAAGGCGCGCTATACAGCAACATGAGAACCCTCATAATTCTGAACCTTAGGTCAAGCGACGGGGATGACACCTGAACTGTCACTCCCTCCCCTCTCCTAACTACCACACCACACCAATGGGAGTACATTGAGTCTTAACAGATTAAACGTGCATCGGCCTCCTCTACACGGTGTGTCTTTTACTACTTCGAAATTCAAATATTCCCGCTATTAATACGTAATTATTATGTTTCGTAGTTTTGCATTAAAAAAATAAGCAGGCGATTATTAAAATTACCAGAACCTATTGTAAAATACTAACTAATATATATTATCTTATTTTTAATTTTATATCTCATATATTTCATAGCAATATTTTTTGTGGGGTGTGGAACAACAAATGCTGTTATCCCTATATATGTCAATATATTATCATGAATAAAAATAGAATACATTTATACTGAGTTAAAACTTTAAAATTGTAGAGCTGCCATGACAGTTTTTCTAAATTAAAAACGTGTATTACTTTAATAATAAAAAAAAATTGTGTAATTGAAAAAAAATTAAATCAATATTATCTTACCATACCTAATTTCAATCTATTTTTATTATTCAAGACTTGCATAACTTTAATCCTTGGAGGCCAAGGGCGGTTTAATTACCTAAAGTCAAGGATCAATTAACAAAGATAACATACTTAAAAAACATATAAGATTACTGGTTGATAAAAAAATTCCATTTTTTTTTGTTTGAGATAAAAATAAGAGACTAATAACCCTTTATTTCGATAAAGTATTTGTCGTGGACTTGTGCTGATGTAATGAATAAAATATATTAAAAATTGAAAATTCTTTATCCACAAATGATAAGTTTTTTTGGCATTAAATGTATTTGATTTATAATTAAGAACCTGTGACTTCATAACTTTCGTTTTTATTTTTATATTGTTTTTAATATACATGAAATCATTTTAAATTTAGAATCCTAGCCCTGAAGATTAGAAGTTTCGATCTCTCCCCCTTGCTTAAGAGAATATTCTGCAAAATGACTGAGGGCTCTCTAATTTCTAAGGGGAGAGGGAAGGGTTTCTTTAACTTAGTCAGCTATTGATACGACTAATATTGTCTCGCTTACGAGAGAGGGATATCCAATTTTTTTTTTTTAAATTCAACTGTAAAGAACTGGTATGTCTGAGAATTGCTAATCTCAAATACATGAGTGATTTTTGTAATTACAGAATAACACTGTAAAAATTTTTAAAAATTTAATTTTACATATAATTACTTACAATTTGATGAATATTCGTATTTCACTGCTTGCCACAGGCTTGTTAATATTTCTCTATCGTGTGAGATCGACAAATCCTTGAAGAATAATTCTCA